GGATTAGATGGAAAACGCTATAGTAAATTCAACAGAACACGAAAAATCAGAGGTCAGAAGGTAATGGCGTTTGTTCAAGAATAGAAAGATGATGCAACGTGCTGTCCTCTCCAGGTCAGGTGAAGTATTACAAAACAGATGTAGTGCGCATGCGTCGAACGAATCGTAGGTACGTTATGATTAATGCTGAACTGGGGACAGCATACTACAGCTTATGCTGCCATAGAAATAAATATGTAAAAATAGCAAGAGTAGAATGCAGTTCTGAATTCAGCTTAAATTTAGTCTGAAAAGATAAATGAATATTTGATTAATTATTACATGAAATGTGGGAAGACTGAAAATGAGCAACAGAGACAATTATCATGAGAGGACACGAGTATGTTTTGTGAGAACTTTGAACTGTAACCCATTCATCATTGTTTTGACATTAAACAACTGCTGCAGGTAGCTCTAGAGCCAAAACTACAATATATGACAAACAATTCTGTTAGCCTACATCATTCCATACAGTCATAATTACAGCATGACTGACAGGAGGGATGTCTCTTTTCAAATGTGGCTTTGTGTGTGTGTGTGTGTGTGTGTGTGTGTGTGTGTGAACAAACAGTCGCAGTCTCCCTATGGGTTCATCATCCAACATCTTGTCAAAGAACGCAGTGACAACGATCCTTTTCAAATCCATCATGATTTATTTTCACTTTATGGTATCCTTGTGACATTTGCAGAAAAGCTCTCTTTCTTTATTTTGGTTTTTATGAATTACCATGTCATTTAAATGTCCTCATTTGCATGAGACTGTTCTCAGCATCTACCCACAGATTTGAGGGGGATTTCAAGTTAAAAAGCAAGGTCAGTCGTGCTCTCATTGTCACATGGCACTTCAACCTTCACCACAGTATATCAGGGAGCCACTGGCTCAATTTTTTTTCTTTTTCTTTTATGTCGGGCAGATGCAGTCGCCATGGTTTCTCTCTTCTGAAATAAAGGTGGACTAAAACACACGGAAATGTGACCATTTGCAGAAACAGACAGCTTAAAAGCCTGTCACAAAGCATAATTATCTGTATTATGTATAATTTTCCACAGCAGTAAGGCGAAGTCAGAAACCACTGTAACCACAGCATGCATGTGCACCGAGAAGTTTCAAACCAGAACCTGAATGGGTTTCAGTCCTTAGACCCAAATCTCTCTAATGTTCCCCTCTGTTTCCTGGGGGAATGTGTTTGTATTTGGACCCTCCATAATGGCCTTGTGATGCATTAGATGACGCACATTAGAAAAAGGCTAATAATGCCATGACCCATTTTCACTCTTTTTACCAACTTAACTCGCTTTGTACAATTCCCCATTAGCTGCACTCTGTCTTCTAAAGGATATGTGGTTTTACCCTCATTCCACTGAACAACGTGAGAACCGTGAATAATCTGCTTTAATAACAGATAAGACTGTTTGATTGCTATCATGAACACTTCAAGGAAGCTGAAATTCCTGCAGAAAAAGAAATGGAAGGTGTGCTAAGATTAGATTTAAAATATATCAATACAGCTTTATTAAGGAACATATTTTGTACTAAAGCAATTTGTATTCCAATAAAGGAATGATTGTATGAAACATACTGAGACATAAAGTGAATTTAGAGAAAGAAAATGAATTTAGCCGTATTCATAATTTAGTGTCATTGAAGGATTTTTGCTCCATGGCTTTTAATGCTACAGTGACATCTGCTGGTTCATTCATAAATCAGATTTTTGGGGATAAAATCAAAAAAGATCAAAGGCCTATAATGATATTTCAGTACACTGTAAAAAGATTTTTCAAAGATGTAAATGTTGTTCAGAATTTCACTTTCAATTCAGTGTGTTTCTTCCCATTTCTTTGAAATTGGTTGTGAAGTTTAGCAATTCCTTCAGTGAAATTAGTTTGTTTTTTTCAGTGACTTGTAGGATTTATCCTCATGAGGTCCATCATACCTATTAAGAACAAGTTTTAGGCTACTGGCAGAATGAATATAGTCGTTAAATATTTTACACCAGAATATTTAGAATAGAAAGACTATCAGATTGCAAATCCTTGGAAGAATAATAAAAATACTTGTGATAATCCGGTAACCTACTCACTACAATTTTGTCAGTAATTTTCATCACCTAGCTAACAAAAATATGTTTAAGAATGTAACATTCAAGTTATGAAAATATTGTTTCTGAATGTTCAAAATGTCCATTTTTTTTTAAATATTGTTTTAAAAATGTTCTTCTTCTTCTTCTTCTTCTTCTTCTCGGTTATGCTAACATTAAGGGAACATTCTTCCATTTTATCATTTTGCGAACAGTATAAAACCAGATAACTCTAAACAAATGTTTTAATGTTACTGGATGCACGTTGTTCATAACTTTGAGTGAACCGTCTCAGAATGTTGGCCAAAGTTGGGAATATACTAAAAAGGGTGTGAAATGACACTGTTTGATAGATGCTATGAGCCTCAGATTAAAATTACTCTCTGGTAAATCTCTGGTTTTCCTAATTTTAAAACACCTCTTCTATAAAATATATAGCTGTAATTCAGCTCCCCTGGACTCCTCCCTTTTGACTCAATGTTGTATAAATGAAACATTGGCACTGCCATCAACACAGCCTGAAAGGATGAGACTGTAAAACTATGGAGAAGCTTGGCATGATTCTGTTTGTTGCATTGCTTGCACTTTTTGCAGGGAATGGTAGGAGATTTTTACTGCATGGGTGGAGTGTTTGTGTGTGTTTGTGGAAGTGAGGGATGCGATATTTGAATTTAGAAAACAAAAGACTGAATTTACACATTCATTAATGTTTCTTATTTAATTTGTGAATGTGTTGCTTACTTATTTGACAAGTAAATTCATCTGAATCATCCGTATATTGGATTTTTAGTCATAACTGTATTTGTTTGTTTTACGTAACATTAAAGCTTGTGTGCAAAGATGCTACTAACATTTCAATTCAACATATACATGCACATGCACAACACTACTTGGATAATTTTGGATATTATTTTGTCTCAGTGCATCATGATGAAGTGCAGATTCAGAATTGGACATGTGGTTATGGAGGACTCTGTCATCGTTTCTGTTTTGATCAGGAATACATTGTTGATCACCATGGTTGTCCACGCAGATACAGGTGTTGATATAAAGTGACAAAAAAAAAAATAAAAAATTGTGCTGCTTAATTATTTCTGTTTTTTTTTCAGCCTTCTTTGATGAGTGGAAAGTTGAAAAGGACAGCATTTATTTGAATCAGAAATCTTTTGTAACATTATAAATGCCTTTACTGTCACTTTGGAATTAAAAAAACATATACATTTCTTTCAAATAACAAAAGAAAAATCTTACTAAACCCAAACTTTATAATATAATATATAACACTTTCAGATTTATTAAACACAAATGTAAAGGTCGTAACTCTTAACAATGGTTTGTTCATTATTTTCAGATGCTGTGCGGTTTTAGCAAAAAAAAAAAAGTCACAATCTTAGCAGGCCTCGACTGCTGATTGATTTGAAAAGTACATTGTCAGAAGAGTGACTTCTTTATTTAGATTTCAGTACTGATATGAAGCAAATGAAAAACGTTTTAATTATCATTATATAACTAATTCATATTAATTAGCCTTTTGGCATTTAACAATGATTTTCTAGAGGTGAAAATAAAGTTCCTGTAAAAATGGTTCGTGTTTGAAAAAAAGAAGTGTGTTCATCTGAAGTGTGTGAGAATCTCAAAATAAAAAGCAGCTGAAGTAATGAGCTGTGGAACATTGCAAGTACACATGGGGATGATATTTTAGCATACAACATAAGTGAGGCAGATCACAAACTGAGTAAAGCTGATGGGAGAGCTAAAACATGTCACCACCGTAAATCCTGGATTACAATGAATACATGGTTCTTTTTCAAGAGAGGCATGCCACACATTTCCAACATTTCACTCTATTCAGTCTGTGTTTATGAAAGTCAAAGGATGGTCTGGTTTAAGTGGAGCCAGCTTTGCTCTGCATTGTACAGCCACTAGACAATAACACATCCAATGAAGGCTCTGACCCGAATAGCTGTTTTGGAATGCTGCTTTTGTAAATCAAATATTTGCCAAACGTTTTTTACTCATTCACTATCCAGAGATTTTCTGTTTTGCTTACCAACATTATTACACAATAAACCAGAATATGATTTACAAGTCAGTAGCCATTCCCTATGTGCTCAAATCAACTTGATTTTATGGCATTATTTGCTGTTCATGCACAGTTAAATGGTTAAAATAAATATTTTCATTATGCAATAGTGGTGGATTTCCAAAAGATTGTGTGTACGAAGATATCCACCTTTTTTTGTAACAGGGAAGTAAGATATTTTCTTTGAATGTGAAGTACCTCTGATTCATCAGCACTTGTATGGGTAAATAGGCCTAACTAGGTGACAAACAAAGTGCAATAAATGGTAAAACTATTTGCTCAACAACCCATAGTGTTTATGACTATGATAATACAATATAATAATATGATTTTAAAATACCAGTTTGTAACTGGAAGCGAATGTCAAGTTCAAGTTAAATATTAAATTTAAGGTAAGAAGCCTGCTCTTATATTAATTCTTAACTTCATCTTTTTTCACCATATTGGAGAATTAAATTTATTATCCCAGCCCAAAACAAAACTAAAATTATTATTTTAAAGTATTTGATTACTTTACTTTACTTTACTTTACTTTACGTTACTTTACTTTACTTTACTTTACTTTACTTTACTTTACTCTACTCTACTCTACTCTACGTTACGTTACGTTACGTTACTTTATTTTACTTTACTTTAATTTTAAAGTATTTGATTACTTTACTTTACTTTACTTTACTTTACTCTACTCTACGTTACGTTACGTTACGTTACTTTATTTTACTTTACTTTACTTTACTTTGCTTTACTTTACTGTACTTTACTTTACTTTACTTTACTTTGTGCCGGCAGATGGCGACAACGGAACTTTGTACGTTAGAAACACATCAGGAGTACAGAAGAAAATGTTCCGGAAATATTAACCGACTTTAAATATCTGCTGATGAATAAACTTATGGAGGAGTGAGGTTTTGTATTTATTAATTTATTAAATAAGTGAACAGTTATTCAGCATGGACATATCCTCTGATGAAGCTGATGACTGGTTTATAGAATCTCTAAACACGTGAGTTGCATTTGATCGCCTGTAATAGCGGTTGTGTTTTAACACTTATTGTATTGCCTAACCTAGACAGCATTATCTTGAGCACCAGGGACGTGTTTCATTACCCAGTTAATCTGCGTCCTTTTTGATTTCAGATATAAAGATCTGCATGTATTTCAACTCGAGCATCCGACAAAAGTAATAGAGTGGACGGGTGAAAAAAGTAAGGCTTCTCTGAATCTCCGAAAATTTTGAATCATTAAAGTAGAAAATCTATTAAATTCTAAAGGCTGTTTTCATTCTGTATTCCAGGTATTTGTGTTGCAGGATACACTGGAGCAAGAAGTGAAATCTTAGAGTTACTTCTGCCTCTTAAATTATATGCAGGAGAAAACCAGGTGTATAAAGGATTTAGTAGCATATGTATTTTGAATGTGCAATTCATTTAATTAACTGCTTATTGGTCACTACTTTAGAGTCTTTGTGCAGAAAGAGACTTCAAAGTACAGCATGGTGGCTTTTCAGAGGAACCTATTGAGAGTTTGATACATATCCCTGGAACAAGGTCAAAACTAGATCTTGATATGCTCAGAAGTGAAATCTCATCTGCTTGATAATATTAATGCCTTTTCTATTGTAACTGTCTATTTCAGTCTATTTACTGGCAAAATACTGCTTTAGTTTGATTTGACACGATGCCAACAACAGCAAGATATTGAGAAATATTCAATTCTAATCAGTTTTAAAAGTTTAGAGGCCTATTTATTTTGCCATCTGTATGATGATATGATTATTTGATATACAGTTCTTTACAGATGTGCGGTGACTACTGGAAGTTCTAGTTCAACGTTGCAGATTTGGGATATTGGAGGCGATGATAGTGGTAGGATTCATGTCTGTGTAATTCATTACAAATTAAATTAACAATGAGAAATTAAACTAATAATCTACATGCATTTGTTGAATCCTGTATAATTGTTTTCTAAATAGAAAATCATTATAATTTTTAAATTATTTTAAATAATCTGACATTTTTGAATTCATGGAGCATTTTGCAAAGTCTTAAAATTTCATGTAGCATCTTACCTGTTTTTGCAACACAGATGTTATAAAAAGGACTGGAGTCATAAACCTCAAGAGCACATCAGCAAAAGGCATTAAAATAGCACCAGGATTGACAGACGAACCAGCAGTCCTTCATGGTTCTGGTATAAGTGAAGTTCAGCTGACAGAGATAGCAACAGGACGGGTTCTGTATACAGTAGGTAATATCAAAACGTATTTATTTTTTAAGTGCTTTATTAGTACAGCTCATTTCATATTACTTATTTATTGTTTTACAGCGAAAGAGTCCTCCGATTCAGTGAGTGGCTTACAGTTTGTGAATGCTTGTGTATTTCTCATTTGTGCGAGTAATGGCACTTTGCTAATGGGTGACACAAGAGATCCCTCGACTTGTCATTATCCTCTGCAAGACAGTAAGAGTGGTTTGCACTGGTCATTTGGGTTGAGGAGTGACAGCTCTCAGTCCGAACCTTCCTGTTGTACTGTAGCCAGACTCTCGTCCTCTGGTCACATGCTGCTGTCTGATCTAAGAGATTTGCAGAGTCCGTTTTGTCAAACGAAACTAAATGTCCAACATAGCACATCAAAGAATGACTTTCTGAATGTTTCTTGGGCTCCTGTTCTCAACAGATGTCTTTCTGTGTCGGGTAAGTAAAGAATGCTTCCATTTTTCCTGTCTCAAGTAAAGAACAAACCCTTTAGTTTTGTAAGATTGTTAGATACAAAATGTCATGTTCATCTTCCTTAATGGGAAGACCTCTGGTTACCAATGACCTGACAATTTTTGTTTTCTTGAATTTAGAAGGCTTTGATGGAACAGTGCACATCTACAACACAATGGATTGGAGTACAGAGGGACAGAGCCCTCAGCCAGTTTTTTCACACCGTGGTCATGAAATGTCACATGAAGCAAAATACAGCAGTTCCCCGCCTGTGGTTACCACCCATTCTTGGCATCAATCACGACCAAAAACTCTTCTCTCAGCAGCTACGGATGGATCTCTACATGTATGGGACTGGGTGGATAAAATCATTGACAGATGATGTTGATGTTCATTAGATAATTAATAGTCAAAACTATTGTGTAATGATACAAGGAAATCAAATTTGCATAATAGTTTGCAGTCCGAGTACAATGTTTGTGAACTCATTGAGTAATATTAAACAATTGAAAAATTATTTTGACAGTGATCTTTAGCAAACTATTATTACACAGCTCTCTGGAATACTTAATTCTGATTGGTCAGTCGCTGCTTTCAGCAGTGTGATATTTCAACTCAAATCGGAATTTCATGTCCATGTATATGAATTTATGGTGAGTAGCCATGTAATAATCATCATAAAATTTAATATAGTAGCATAACACCATTTCTACACTGGACGCAGACAGCGTGATGAGACAAAAGCAAAGAGAGCACATTATTATCACTGATGCGGGATGGTGACAAATCCATGTTATATTTCTGACGTAGGCCTACTCCAGGACAAAGGACTTACGTAAAATTTAATATAGTAGCATAACACCATTTCTACACTGGACGCAGACAGCGTGATGAGACAAAGCAAAGAGAGCACATTATTATCACTGATGCAGGATGGTGACAAATCCATGTTATATTTCTGACGTAGGCCTACTCCAGGACAAAGGACTTACAATAACAGGACAAACAGTGTATTCTGTTTAATTAGATTCCAGTTTCTGTATTTAAAAAAAGTGGTAACAATTTACTTAAAGCCTGTATGTATAATGCATTATAAAATATGTTTTAATGCATTAATTATGCCTTGTAGTGCACCTTAATTTATTGTGCAATCTCATGAATAACACTTATCAGTTCTTTGTTACACTATGCATTTTAAGTTCTGTTATAATTATTTATGACAAGATAATGTATTACATAATTATAATGAATTATACCCTTTAATAGCCCTTTATAATGCATTACACATAAAGGCTTTTAAGTGTTACCAAAAAAGTTTCAGTCAGATAATGTAATTATTTTATGTGTATGTAACGTTATGAAATTACCAATAAAAAATGCTAAACTAATTAAAGTATTTTAACCGTTTCCTACATATTGAATAATTCATGTGTATAGAATATAGTTTTTAAAAAGGAATATTTCAGAATTATTGGCATGCACTTCTAGTAAGGGAAGCATATTACTTGGTTGGTAACAATCAGCAATTTTCATTAGTAAAAAAAAAGTTTTTGCAGTATGAACTTGAACATTGCTATGGAGAATCCACAGGCTATCTCATCAATTTCTGTTTTGTCTCCACATTCCATGAGACAGGCAATGTACTCGCTTTTTTACACTCAGCCAGCTCTGAGTATCCACTTGGACCATCATTGGTTTTGGGAAACATTTTCCATAAATTTGGATCCAATGGTGAATTATTCATATAGATTCCGAGATTCTTTCTCTCCTTTTGATCGGATGTACCCTGATCAGGGTAATGAATTTTCAGCACACTACCTTGGCAACCCTTACCGGTTTCTATCAGCTTTTGAATAGTTGAAGGTTTGTCAAATGCTTGTCCATGCTGCTGCTTGAGCTTCGACTCTGTGGCCAGATGTACTTCGAGCATTGCAGTACAGTGTATTGCTACCACTGTCATCTATGATCTCAGCCATCACTGTAGAATGTGAATGCACGTGATGTGAGCTGAACATTTGTGGATTTAAAGTATGCATATGCTGGGATAATCAGTCTTCCACCCTTCATTTGAACACCACGTCCTGGTCCAACAACAAAGGTGGCCCAGTTTTTCTCCTCAACGATTACACGTTCTGTCAAGTCCTCAGTTTGGCTCCAGGTTGTTCCGGTGTCCTGACTGGTTATGTAACAAAGTCGTGCCTGGTTCTTTTTTGTCTTTTTTTATCGTCTTCAGCGACCCCAATGGGAACACAAATGAAAAAGCGAAAGAGGGTCTTGGATTCTCTCTCATAAACCGGACGTGGATTCATGCTGCGGTGGTTTCGTAGAAAAGCTTTAGTGAGCTCCTCATGACTACTATCCCACTGAAATAAAAATCATGACAGTGTTCATGCCTTTTATAAACTAGACTGGTAAAGAATCTATGAAATGGAGTAGTTGTTAAGAAAACTGTCAGTTATGAATAACAATTTATGATTTTGGTTAAACATGTCTAGTACCTGAACTATATTCTTGTCATCCTCCCAACAATCCTCTCATCACAAACACTTCTGCATGTGTCATCTGGTGTATTCTGTTTTTCAGCGAAGGCGAGGTAGGTTTTAGCGTCACTGATATAAATGAGAGCTGGAATTCTGTGTCACCTGTCATTTGCAACATCTAGGCCAACCTAAACAACAACACCAACTTGGCCAATAGCACCAACATTGAAATTGTTCCTGTTTGAATATTGTTGTTTTTATGCCTGTAAGCTCAGCTGAAGGTGTGTTGTTATCCATTGTTAAATGTAAGACCTACAAATAGAATAAACGGTATAAGTTGATAATGAGACAAACTATCATATTATACTGTATTTAATTATATTATAATTACTATAAAATACATAAAAAGAAAAAAATTATTAAAGTGTTTTTTCTACCTTTTTTTGTCTAATGGTTACAAAATGTTTAAAAATGTGAGAATACAAATACTCACAGAGGTTGCAGACCAGACAAGACACATTACGTCTTCACAGGCAGGACAAACTACAGGCACTAATGACTCTTGTCCAAAACAATGGACAAATGGGTCTGTTTGAATAATGTTTTTGTTGTTTTGTCTTTGAGAGAAACTGAATTGCTTTTTGAAGATGTATTATTACCCTTTTTTTTATTCTAGCCATATAGATAGAATAAATAGAAGTATAAGTAACAGTATCCCCATATATACACTTCCGCCACATTTTAAAATGTATAAAAGACACTGCTTTAGATTCCAATTATTGAAACAAATGAAGTGGAATTTGCCAAACTTGGCCTCACGTCCAAAACAAGATAATGAGTGTAATCACTGTACAGACAGAAGTTACATAAGGAAGTTTCGCACTTCAACCTGCAAATGTATTGACGCTGTATGAAAATAAAAACATCCATGTTAACAATTTGGGACAAATACATTGTAATTTATTAGAAAAACGGTTAGTGGCACTCTGAATTTTGTGCAGCATCAGAAGTCTGGCCAACCCCCTTTATTCAGAGGTAGCGCTACAAATAAACAGTTTTTGTAAGTTCTGACACAATGTTGTATTTTATTTTTAAGGTGACACAGACATCACAAGAACACAACATATTATTCTTAAAAAATAATAAATTACATTTAGATTTTTTTTTGTCCTTGTCAAAAAGTATCCCCATAAGAAGCAATACTCACAGCAATGATTTTTTTGGAGCAGCAGCAACACAGCAGGTTCGTCACCACCTCTCAAGCCTCTCATCAGGTCTAACCAAAACATACTGAGCATCCCTTATTTATAATAACCTATATCAACACAGGAAATTTCTGAAACTAAGTTAAACTAAGTTAAACATTTACTAAGTTAAAGAGCAGGATGATAAGCAGGGTGAAAAACATTCTTTATCTGTTTCATTTATTGTAGTCCGTAAGTAAAAGTATGCAAGTAAAAGAGAGCATAAAGTATTTTTTCTTTATGTGTGAATTAAATGTTAAATACCGTTAAATCGTTAAATACCAAAATTTTTTGCATATTTGTATTCTGTAGGGTGAAAAAAATGTGTTCACTGTTTTAAGTTATATTTTTGTTTTAAAATACATATTTAATTGAGTTTGAGAGATTTCATGTTTAACAAAATCTGCATATTTCCACCATACATCAAAGAGTTATCCTGGGATGTAATGGGGAAAAACACGTTTAATACAAATAAAACCAGTTATACTGTGAATATACAGAATATTTGATTAAACATGCAACTTTATTAAATTGGTTAAAAAATACATATTTTATAATATTTTAAGGAAAAAAATGTCCCCAATATTTAATTTTTTTTGCATATTTTAATCTAAATTTTGATGAATATAATCTTATTAATGTGCTAATTTGTCTGGGTGGTGTTACTGTCTCCACTGTAGGGAAAAAGTGGCAACACAGACATAAGTAGCACCAGTGTTATAAGCGTAAGCACCAATATTTTATTAAAATGAATTAAAATGTCCTTAAGCTTCCATTTTATGAACGTTTTTCAATTTCTTACATATTCTCTTTTGCTACTCCAATTCACAGCAATGCAAAAGTTATATTTTGCATTAGTTCTCCTGTTTGACACAATCTTGAAGGGCTGTGTTGGATAAAAATATGCTTTACGTGCTTTTTTTTATTGTGTTTATATAACTGTTATTTATTATATTCCAATTAGCTTGCTTTATCTGGCAAAAGTCCTGTGATTTCCCAAGTTACTGCTGATTTGAACTGCAAGTAGATACAGACAGATCCATTATGTTTACTGGACTGGGCCACTGACAGATGCTATCACTAATATTTTATCACTAAGTGCAAAAGGAGTTGAGGACTGTGCAATGAGCTTGTGGTGACATTTGGAGTATCTGGAATAATTAGATAATAATGATTTAATGATTTATGAGCCATGTTACGTGCATGAATTATAAACACTGGGATAACTTTATCTCTTATGTCAAAAATGAATTATGGTCTCTATCCCTAATGTTACACAGCCCTGCGCAAATGTTTAAAAACACATCTTATCTTTACTGAGCACTCAAATAATACTGAAAAGAAGTGAAAATGGTGTGATACAGCAGAATGTGCAACAAGATACTGATTGCCTATAGTTATCTTTTTTCTAAAATGATTTCAAGAGGTAATGTAACATTAGAGAAACTTATCTGAAATAAAACTACAGCTTGCACATTTTACTGCTGCAAAGAACCAAAGAACCCACAATGTATCAAGTTGTGAGTTTCCACTGGGGCCCTTATGGATGTTCAACTGTGACAAGATACCAACCAGGGACATGACGCTGCATTTCCTTTTTATTTCACAAGTTTGTTCATATAATCTTTGAGTATGATGAAGGTAAACAGGTATATGCTGTCCACGAAAGAGGGCTTGATATGCAACTCAAGGACTACTTCAAATAAGTTTGTAAAAAATAAAAAATAAATAAAGCACGGTTGGAGAAAGAGCGGTCATGAAAGTGAGGAAAGCAGCTGTTATAAATTTTTGCAAAAGAAAAGAAAAACTGAAATCTACAATAAAAATGGAAAAATGGCACAGAACTGCTTTGCATAAAGCACATTTTTGGCTAGACGGTAATACATCAGGAAGTATTTTGATCAAAAGTTTGGAGCAGTGGTGAAGCGGGAGGGCATGGGCCCACCCACTGAGAAGTAGGTAATTTTCCAAATGGATGTAAATTATTCAACAAAAATATTACTATTTTTTTCACTATAGCTTTATAAAAAAGTTTTTATGGTCAATTGGAGGCAGTTTCTTCATTTTCCCTCTTCCTATAGGTGTATACCATAGTCTACACTTGTCAACATGATGATTCGTCAATTTCTGTTAGTCCCACCCACCATGTTATGTTACGACATAAGGACATAATAGTAAAATGCACACGTTTGTGGAGTTGAATTTGAAAATGGTGAAACTAACATCAATCAGATCAATTTATTAAAAAAAATAAATATTGAATATCGCAATTGAAAATAAGTCTTTTAGCAATGAATCCGGACCATCTACAAATGAAACCAGACCACTGTGGGTGAGGAATTTATAAATCAGAAACTTCTGTGCCAAGCATGTTGGAAGCATCATATTAGCATTGGTATAGTGTTTGATCCGCTAAACATATGCATCCTGTGAAAAGAAACACACAAACGTTGTGCTAGATACTGTTCTCCACAGCAAACTGCATATTGGCAGCTGCACTCATTTCTACGGTCCTCAATGTTTAATCTCTTTTCAACGCGAACTGACAGAAGCACTTGATTATGAGATCATATGTAGCCCAGGTAAAGTAATGTTTTAAAGGGGTCATATGATGTTGCTAAAAAGAACATTATTTGGTGTAATGAAATGTGTTTATGTGGTTTAAAAAAAGCTTTGAATGGTAGTGTGTATGATCTTCATATTTTGATGATTTAAATATGCTTAATATCAATTTTGTGAGTACTTCTCCATTATTTTTAGCAGTAAATTACTAATTTGCCAAACGAAAAGAAAATGTTGACTTTTGCAGTCTCAATTAGCACCCCTGGCCTAAATGACGTCACTGAGTTTAAAAAGGACAAAGGCTATCCCTTCAACCTCATTTATCTCTCCACATTCCATAAGACAGGCAAAGTGTTTTCCATCTCCACAGTGAGCCAGATCGGAGTATCCACTTGGACCATCGTAGATGATCAATTTACGGTCCTCCCATCCTGAGGCATCCCACGGCGATTTATTCAAGTAGACGGCAAGGCACATTCTCTTGCTTGGATTGGTTGGATGGCAATAGAGTAGCCATGTTTTTTCAGTTGCTGGATCAGGGGCAAAACTCAACACACTTCCTTGGCAGCCATGTCCGGTCTCTGTCAGCTTACGTGCAGATGAAGGCTTGTCAAAAGCATCTCCATTACTCTCACTTAGAGCCTCGACTCTGTGGCCGGATATACTTCGAGCATTGCAGTAAAGTTTACTGTTACCTTTGTCGTCAATGATCTCAGCCATTTGACACTCATTAGACTCACCATCCACACGTTTTCCTAAATGCCAAGTACTTCCTTTATCATCACTGTAGAATGTGAATGCACGCGATGTGGGTTCACAGTTGAGAGAGTGGCAAGGATATACATATGCTGGGATAATCAGTCTTCCGTTCTTCATTTGAACACCATGTCCTGGTCCGACAGCAAAGGTGGCCCAGTCCTTCTCCTGCTCACCGATCACATCTGCTGTCAGGTCTGTCATATCACTCCAGGTTTTGCCAGTGTCATGACTGGTTATGTAACAAAGTCGTCCCTGATTCTTATTCTTGTGTATTTGTTTGTGTTCAGAGACCCCAACAGGAACAGTGATAAAAAACAGAAAGAGGGTCTTGGATTCTCTCTCATAGACTGGACATGGATTCATGCTGCGGTGGTTTGGTTGACAAGCCGAAGTGAGCAACTCATGACTATTATCCCACTGAAAACAATAAAGAAAAATAAGGCGAAAAAAAGGCTTAATATTAAAAATTCAAGTGTCTCAATCCAAGATGTAGATGAGTTTGTTTCTTCATCAGAAAAGCATTACATCAGTTGCTTACCAAACAGATACCCTGCAGTGAATGGGTGCCGTCAGAATGAGTCCAAACAGCTGATAAAAACATCACAGTAACCCACAAGTAATCAACACCACTCCTGTCAATCAATTAATGTCTTGTGTAGTATAAAAAGTAAATTACAAAAACAGTTCTAAACAAATATGTCTGTGGATTCTGAGAGGACAACAGGGGATGGATTTTTTTTTCCAAACACAACTTTTTGCTTTACAAGATGTGTGGATTACTTGTGGGTATTTTTGTGTTTTTTAATAGCTGTTCGGACTCTCAATCTGATGGCACCCATTCACTGCAAAGGATCCATTTGATGAGGAAGTGATGTAATGCTAAATGATTCCAAATCTGTTTTGATGAAGAAACAAACTCATCTACATCTCACATGGCCTGAGCCAGATGAATAAATGTATCACTTTATTTTTGGGTGAACTATTCCTTTAAAACTTAAGTTCCAGAGAACTGTTTAACACTCTACAATAATGTACCAAGACTCACCTCAACTTCACTATCCTTACATGTTCCTTTTCTCATCACAAGAACATCTGCATCCGTGTCATCTGCAGTTTTCCGCTTTTCAGCAAAGGCAAGAAACGTTTGATTGTCACTGATATAGATGAGAGCTGGAATTCTGTATGTCACCTGCATTTTTTCAGATTTCTGAGGCTCCTGTTTGAATAATGTTGTTACTGGAAAGGGTCTTGATTTGCTTCCTGTGTGTGTTTTGTCCATTGTTAAATTTAAATCCTGAAAATATAATAAGCAGATTTATATTATTAGCTAAAAAAAAAAAAAGTCACAAGGCAAGATTAAGCAATATAAACTAAGTCAAGTGGTGATGTCTTATCGAGGATTTAAGTTACTTATAAAGGAAAGATAATTTTTTGTTGTACCCTGTCCTTCCTTCTTTTGGCTATATTCTCTCAGTTTTCACAATAGGTCCGAACCAATACGGCTCAGTTTTTATACGTATGTTGCTCTGTCGAGCGGCAGAAAATATTTTATGTAGGCCATTCTGAGTCAACACCATGCTTTTCCAATGAGGGGGAAAAGGACTGTTTTCCTGAATGCTTAATTATGAACAAGATGGGAAACCATTTAAAATAATTTCAATATTATATCCACTGCGATCTTATCAATATATGTAATAAAAATACTAATATATACATATACAGTATACATCTTTATCAGTGAAAATACTTCATTAATTCTGTCCACTATGACCTTGTCATGAAAAGGCCAAACGGCACACTTAATAATCAAAAATATAGTATTATTTGGCTGCCGATTATATCCATGCAACACAATCAGTCAATTTTGATTAAAAGCATGACCAGATTAAACTTAATCATACCATAAATTTGAATAACACTAGTCTTTATCAGTGCAATATTGATAGTGTCCTCTTGAACTACTTCAAATGAAAACATCACAATTTGTTAAAACTAGACTGTTCCAGTTAATCTGTGGTAATTACAGATGCAACACAGCTATTTACAATAAAATGACAAAAATAGTGTCAAACACTATACTAAAGATAATACATGTACAAATGTCGAGCTAAAGTAACCTTTGCACCCCGAGCCAGTAGAAGGTAATAGGGAGAAATATCTTAAAATATTAAAATATTTTTAAAATTGCAGTATTTTTACAGTGAAACTAAATGAATCAAAATAAAAAGTCTACACAGTCCAAAATAAAATTAAGCAGCCTATATTGACATAAAAATACATGACAAACAAATGAGTAATGACCATCATACAGTCCTATAACAAAGGTCAACAAGCAAATAATAGGCATTTGCTTACAATAAATACATAAATACAAGGTAAAGCATACCTTACATGTATCAAGCCAGGACCAGCACAGTCATGATTTAATTATCACATTAACTGCTTAATTTTTTAAGCCATAACAGTTTCATGACTTCAAGAGATGCTCGGACTTCACCTCAGATAAATTTATCTGAATTCAAAATACAGCTATTTTGTCGCAGTGCGATAAAATAGCTTCTCTTCCCTGCAAACGATACAATGACGAATGAATGGTTGCTTAACTTAAAGGCAAAAAACAATTCAAAAGATAAGCATCTATCCCTATAGAGAATGAGAAGTAACCATGGGAACGGATAGCGATTTCAAGAGATGCTCGGACTTCACCTCAGATAAATTTATCTGAATTCAAAATACAGCTATTTTGTCCCCGTTTTTTTTTTTTTTGTATCCAGTAGAAAGAAGCAAATCTAACGCAGAAGCAAACGTTAAAGGACTAGTTCACCCAAAAATTACATTTGCAGAAAATTTACTCACCCTCGCCCTCAAGATGTAGATGAGCTTGTTTCTTCATTGCAACAGATTCAGAGAAATTTAGCATTACATACATTTTTCACCAATGGATCCTCTGCAGTGAATGGATGCCGTCAGAATGAGAGTCCAAACAGCTGATGAAATATTTATTTATTAAATCATTATTTAGAATTGTTCTTGTAAACATTGCAAGTAAATTTCTCTTCTGATTCAGTAAAGAGGACTGATTCAATGGTTTAAAGTTAAAAACATCTTAATGGAGGATTTGTTTATTACAAACACAGCTTTTCGCGTCACAAAATAATAATTGGTGGACTGGAGTGGTGTGGATTACTTTTGAATTATTGTTTTTAATCAGCTGTTTGAACTCTCATTCTCACGGCACCCATTCACTGAAGGATCCATTGGTGAACAAGTTGATATTAAGCTAAATTTCTCCAAATTTGTTCAGATGAAGAAACAAACTCATTTACATCTTGGATGGCCTGAGGATGAACACATTTTAGGCAAATTTTCATTTTGGGGTGAATTATTCATTTAAAACTTGCCATAGGAAGTACTTTTATCGTTTCAAGTGCACAATAAATTGCTGAGTTTAAATTCCACAAAGGCTATTTCCTCAATCTCACTTTTCTCTCCACACTCCATGAGGCAGGCAAATCGCTCCTCACACTGTGTCAAATCTGAATATCCACTGGGACCCTTATGGATGATCCATGGTTGGCCCCAACCAGACGTTTTCAAGGGTGATTTATTCAAGTAAACTCCAAGATCCTTCCTTTTCTTTTTACTAGTTGGATGGGAATAGAGTAACCACGTTTTTGTGTCTGACTGTGTCAAGCAATCATTTGGGCTCTTCTCCACTTCATCCAATGGCTCGGGCACAGGGAAGCTCAACACGCTACCCTGGCAGCCATGATGGGGCTCCACGAGTTTCTGAGCAACATGAGGGTTGCCAAAAGCTGCCCCGCTGCTCTCACTTAAAGCCTCCACTCTGTGGCCACATGTACTACGGGCGTTGCAGTACAAATGACTCCCATCAGCGTGGTCTATGATCTCAGCCATCTCACATTCGCAGGATTTCATTGGGATTTTTTCTCCCATCTGCCAGGTGACACCACGGTCATCACTATAGAACGCCAAAGCATGAGGCCTGACTATGAGTGGAAAATTAAAAGGAAAACACCTACAATGTATGTAATAAACATAAGCTGGAATGATTAGTCTTCCACTTTTCATCTGAATACCATGTCCTGGTCCAACTGCAAAAGTAGCCCAGTTGCAAATCTCATCTCCAACAATATTTGTTAAATCTGTTAACTTGTTCCAGTTTTGGCCATAGTCTGTACTAGTGACGTAACACAGCCGTGCTTGGTTTCTACCCGTAGCAATCTGGTGATACTCTGTGGTACTGCCCAATATGCAGACAAAGAACAGATAGATGGTTTTGGATTTCCTCTCATAGACTGGACAAGGATTCATGGTGCGATGATCCGGCAAACGAGCAGAAGAGAGTGTTTGAGCAGGAGACCACTGAAAACAATGACAATTAATTCAATTGTGTATAAATGTTGTGGTCAGTAAGATTTTTTAAAATGTTTTTGAAGTTTCTATGCTAACTAAGGCTGCATTTATCTGATCAAAAATACAGTAAAAACAGTAATATTATAAAATATTATTATCATTTAAAATAACTGTTTTCTATTTTAATATATTTTAAAATACAATTCATTCCTGTGATGGCAAAGCTGAATTTTCAGCAGTCATTACTCCAGTCTTCAGTGTCACGAGACCTTTAGATATTATTCTAGTATGCTGATTTTGTGCGCAATAAACATTTATTATTATTATCAATGTTGAAAGCAGTTGTGCTGCATAATGTTTTTTGGAAATACTGATAGATTGTTTTCAGTGATGAATAAAAAGTTCAAAAGAACAACAATTATTTGAAATAAAAAGTATTTTCTGTCACTTTTGAACAATTTAATGCATCCTTGCTGAATAGAAGTATTAAAGGGGTTATATGATGCGATTTCAATTTTTCCTTTCTCTTTGAAGTGTTTCAAGCTCTTGGTGCATAAAGAAGATCTGTAAAGTTGCAAAGACTAAAGTCTCAAATCCAAAGAGATATTCTTTAT